ACTCACCCCAAAGCTTCAGGGAAGCTCTCAGCCTCTCACACACCCAGTGCTTTGATGGCAGATGGCACACACAAAAAAAAAAAAACCAAACCAAAAAGCCAAAAAAACCTACACCGACTCCACCCAATATATTTAACTTTGATCCAAACACACAGTGTGTCACTGTGGCAGGGCACAATGGCACATGTCCACAGTTCATGCTTCCTGAAAAATCTGAACATAATTGACATGGGAATTTCACTACTGCCTGACTCTTTATCACAAAAGTGTCACTATTTTTTTGCTAATATTAACATTTTGTGTTAGAAACCCAAATGGCAAACCTTGGACCACTTGGATGCCAAGCAGGAGAGCTACACAGTGAGAAATGTGGACAAAGCCATGGGAATCATCCTGATATTTCTAAAGGCAAACTTTCCTTTTGGTTCTTCTCGTCAAAATTCTTTGCTTTATCTCAAAGCGTTTGAAATTGACACAGAATTAAGTTCAAGTGAACCAAAAAGCATGAATGCCTTGTTTTTTTCATAACCAAAATTATGATTTGATGATTATCTTGACCTGCTTATGTTTCCCCCCCCAAACCAAAAGCTAAGCCAGATCACCTTCACAAACCTATTCAGCAAGAATTAGTAAGAGAAAACATGACATGCATGGAGCAATAAAGCTAAAGGCTCACACTAATGCAGCCCAAGGGCAGATCATGTGAAAAGCATCACTATAACCCATCAGATTAAAGGAACTTAAGATACAGGCATGAATGTCCTTATTGCACCCTGATAGCTGCAGGGCACCATACAAGAGACTTACACAGAGAGGTCAGCTCTAGTTCGAGTTGCAGGTAGCTCAACACCATGCTCTTTCCATACAATTCTGTAGAAATCTAAGACCAAAGTACTCTATTTCCAGACTGAGCCCAAGCAGGGACTTTCTGTAGGACTCCAACTGGTGTACTTAGACCCTAATACTCAGACGACATCTTCGAACCTGATCTTCAGTTTTGCATGCCACGCTGTAAGCAGGTACCTTAAAAATAAATCCAGTTTTGGCCACACATAGCACTCTCTGACTCTGGAGATAGAGAACCTGATTCTTACCTAAAAATCAAGAGGTGACACCTTACACTTCCCTAGCAGGGTCATATTAACTGAGCTGGCAGATTTGATAGAATTAGATTTCTCTGTTGAGCTGGTGCAGCACTGTGATGTGTCAGCACATCCAGCACTTCAGATACGTAAGTTTCAGTCCTTGATTGAAGATCCAGCTTCCAGAAATAATGTTGTGTCCTTTAAAAGGAACAACCTTTGTTTTAGTGCATCAACAGCTAGAAAGTAATAACTTAAAGAAATACGCCAATCTTGGGAAAAATTCAGTAACAATTTATTCAGTCCAGAGGCATTTTAATCTTGCTTCCAGCATTCAGTTGAATACTTAAACTTCCCTGTGCTGGCTTTTGCTCTACAGAAAAATCCTCCGAGAGGATGGATAACAATGGCTCCATCTCAGAGCAGTTTTAGGGACACCCAGAGAACATGCAGGTACCTCCATGGCAGCAGCAGCTCTATGGCAGGCAACAAAATATGGGGAAGGTCATGTTTGGTCCCTGTGGGCTGATCACATCCGTTCCTCCTCATGTTCTGTACTTCCCAGCAATGTATGTTGGACAAACCCAATCAACACGAGCTTGTTGTATTTTCCATTAAGTATTTGAGTTTGGTACTTAAAAACCACATTGTGTTCAAGATGCTGAAAGACAGATTCCTACAGGTTGACAACTGCACTCCCCCTATGCTCTGTGGAGATCAAACGTGCAGATCCTGAAGCTTGGGACATGGCTCGCACAGTACACTGGAGCAGATACTTATAAGGCTAAATGAATATGGATGAACTGCAAAGGCATTTATCCACCTTGGGATAAATGGGCCCAGATATGGGACCAGATGCATCACAGCAGAACTTGAGAGGTACACAGGAGCTGCCACTTCCTGGTCAGTCTTCAGACACAGACATGAAGGCAATAAAAGCAACATAAACGCACACAATAGTAGTTTGTCTGCATGTTTCATTCCCTTGTCCTACACAGATGTTTTCTGGGGACTGCTAACAGAAAGTTTCACACTGCGATCCCTAATTCCACTCTAATGTATGAGCTGTCAATTTGCATACCTCTGACTTATCAGCATCTTCAATGTGCAGATAACAAACATTACATATTCTGATTTAATCAAGCAGGACTACATAAGTCAGACAGGGGCAAAGAAATCCCTTCTCCTACATGCACCCCCATGCTTTAACCTTTGCCAGTAATCTCAGATAAGCAAAAAGATATTGCTGCTTCTCTCTTCCTGATCAGATACTTTCCCCAAGTAGTTTTTGCCCCTTAAGTGAAAACAAGCAGCTTCTGGACGCCCAGTTTACAGTTGTGATCTATGCCAACATCATCTTTCTGAAATAAAAAGGAGAAAGGAAAAAAAGTGTGCTGTAAGGGAAGGAGAAGGGCAGGCAGGAAGGAAATCTGTCACTGATTTAACTGCCTGCACAGAAATGTTGCTTCAGATGAGACACCCACAGCCTCGTGCTCCCTTCTGCAAAGTATAGAATAAGTAGAATGCACAGAAAAGTAAGCCTCGTGCGAGGAAGGAAAAAGTTAAAGCAACTCTACTCACGGCATCTGGCCAGCAAACCCAAACAAAAACGTGTGCTTATCCGGCGTTCCTCAGCTGGCGCCATAAAAAGCTCCACCAGGTGGTGGGATTAACAGCATGTTAAATTTGCTGTGGAGCCGGATCTGCTCTTAGAAGCACATTTCTGCTTCACTACACTTCTGAAAACACTTCTGCAAGGCATCCTTAATAAAAAAAAAGGAATTACTGCTATCATTTAACAGCAGCATTTGCAATGTATTTGAGATAAAGGACGCTGTGATAGCCAAGGGGATGAAACTTCCATCTGCATGACCACGATTTCCTCTCAAATTACTCCCAGTTTTCTAGCAACAGAAAAGCAAACTGATTAGGTGAAGTCTTAAACAAAATGATGTTTAGTGTTAAAAGTTACCTTTGCAGTTGCGATTCTTGTACTGTTAGTAATATCAAGTTTGGAAGAAAAACTGCAATCCAGGCTGAGAGTTCTCTTCTGGTTGGGATGTGTGAAAAATTGATACAAACAGAGCAACTCAGTGTTCCCATGCACAAGCAAACCATACACAAACAGCAAGCCCAAAGAATGTGGAACTGAACTGTTCCCTCTTTTTGCTCTTTCAGACAGTGCTCTCACGTGCTCCTAGCAGAAAAGTGCAACAGAAGTATATCTGACAGAAGTGTACTTGAAAAACCTGGTGGTGAAGAGACCACAAGCTGCTTGGGTCGGGCTACAGAGTGCAGCTTTGTCGCTGCTTAGGATTTAAACCTGCTGAAATGTTACCTCCTAGCAGCACCCAAATGAAGCAAACAGAGTGAGGAAGTGGGAAGGGGATACAGCAACAAGTTCCCCACGGACCTACACGGAGGATCTGCCGCCTCCAGGATAACCAAGAAAGTAAGTGCAAAACAAGAAAACAACTCACAAACTCTTTTAATTCACACCCAACCATTCATAAGCTTGAAAATTCAAAAGCATTTAAAATCATTATGCTCCCAGAAGGGACCTGAAGCACAGCTAAAAGTGGGACAGGTAGCCTGGGGCAAACCCCAGCTTCTAACACAAGAGCAGCTCTGCCAAAGCATTACAGCGGGCAGCGTCCCACAGGCTGTAGGTCAGGCCATAAAAATTGAGAATGGGTGAAGATACAGGCAAAAGATCACATGGGACACTAAGCAGGGATCCAAGTGGAGACCAAGTAGGAACCCAACTATTCCAAAGCGAATGCTCTGCACAGAGCGAGCCCTCCAGCTAAAGCCATGTGCCTAACAAACAGGAGGAGAGTGCACTCTCAGCTGTCAAGTGGCAGGAAGGCTCCAGTAAGGGGCAATGCTTCTTTGTGCCTTATGTCAGCCAAGAGCACCAACGCTCAGGAGGAATGCACAAGGATGGGATCGAAATAAAAGGTGGAGTTTCTTTTTCATATCCTCACATTTCCTGTTTCTTTTCCATGCTGAAATTTAATTTCCTTTTCCAAGAGAGCTTCAGGAGCTTATGAAAACAGACCCAGAAGATTACAAGGGCTTTGTCACCCTTCCAATCTCCTCGAAATGATCCATAGCCAGGGAGGTTCTCCCTTCTACATGCATGCCTAGCAGGCAAAAATATAATTCTGTCTTAAGGTTATATATCAATGAGTTATTTTGGAGTACTGAACACAGAGGAACTCAAGCTTTATAAAGAGTTGTACAAAAACCACACATCTCAAATGAGTCAACGCACACCAAAGCAATTTTGACCATTTTGTGTCCATTTTCAACAAAGCTAAGATCCACCAGGGCAAGCACCAACTGTTGGCTAGGAGAGACACCAAGAGCCATACGAACAGCTGACAAACTGCTGACCTCGAAGATTAGTTATTTACACTGCGCTGGAAATTAATACTGCCGGCGGAGATGTGCGGGTACCTAAGGTCCGCTTCCTTCCTCTAACGGAGCAACACCGGCAGAGCGAGTAAAAAAAAAAATAAAAAAAAAAAAAAAGAGAACAAATAATAATGATCATAATAGACAGGCGGGTGCGGGACTGAGGCAGGCGAGCGGCTCGGAGGCGGCAGCCGGGACCCGGAGCGGCCCCGGGGATGTCCTGAAGTTGCGCCGCTCCCGCCGCCCCCGCGGCCGCTCCCCGCGGGGCGCTCCCGGCTGCGCGGCCGCTGCCTCCCCGCAAAGGAGCGGCGCGGCGCCGGAGCCGCTCTTTCTGCTTCTAGGCGAGAAGAGAAATAACCCCCAAATAAAGAACTTAATGAGGAGTGGGGAGGGGTGTTGGCTCCCGCCGCGCCGTTTGCAGCGGGGTGAGCGGGATTTGCAGGTAAGCGGGAGGGAAGGAGGAAGAGGAGGAAGGTAGAGGGGTCCCGCGGTACTCACGGCGGGGCGCGAGAGGCCGGCGGGCGGCCAAACCCCATGGCCGGCGATGGGCGATCGGCGCTGCGGCGGCGGTGCTGCTGCTGCTGCTACTGCTGCTCCTGTTACTGCTGTCTCCGCTGCCCGCGGAGCCGCTCCGGGCGCCCCGTCCCTCCCCTTCCCTCCCGCCCGGCCTCCCGCACGCTCATACAGCGCGCCCCCAGCCAGCCACGTGGACGGCGCAGAGCCCCCGCGGCTCCTCCTCGGAGCTGGGCAGGGCAATACCCGGGCAGCCGGCCTGCCGCGTGCTGTGCGCGGGGCTGTCCTGTCCGATGGGTGCCGAGACCGCCTTCTCCCCTACTCGACGTTTTCTACCCGCTCCCCAGATGACCACCCTGAAGTGCCTTCCATCCACCCCCATCGCTGGGACACCAACATTGTCCTCGTAGGGATCCCAGAGGTGATGGCAGCGGGAAGAAAATTCAGTGGAAGGAAATTCAGTGCTCCTCAGGGGTGAAAGTGTGTTTTGTGTCATTAATGATAATAATAAAAAAGTGTGCATCGTAAATAATATCATCCTTGTGTCTCGCATCTGACATTTTTAAGACTGCTATAAAATGCTGTTGAATTAAAAAGCATCATTAAAGAAAACCCCAGACAGATACATTCAACTGATAAAGTGTATGCTCTAACTATTTAACAACATAATGCTGGCTTTTTTAGTGTTGGTGTGCGAGGGTTGGAGCTGAGCCGAGAAGCGCAGAGTTTATAGCACCTCCAGAAAAGCAAATACCGCTCTGCTCCTCTCCCCGATCCCACTGTGGGCTATAGAAGATACATATCCACAGTGTATGTGAGCTCTGAAGGATGCTGGGCAGCTGGGAAATAAGTAGCTGTGTGAAGCATATGAGTTTACAGTTATTAATTTATTTATCCATACTGCCCACGTTGTTGGTTTATTGCATCCAGCACAACTGACTTCCACTGGAAGCTGTAAGGTGCTATGTAGGAGCTGTAAGTCATCAATCATTGCCGAGCTCATTTCCATGGTTGCATTAGTTAAAGGCATAAAGTGTGGTTGCAGACCGGTGCCACGTTGCTTACCACTCTGCAGATATTTGCATTTGGTTTGAGCACCTGTGACAGGCTGAGCATGGACCCATTTACCCACAGATCCATAAACTAGCTCATAAACCCACAGGGGGACTCCCACATCCCAACTCTGCCTCTGGGTGCCATAGAGCAACATCATGTTGTGTCCTTCCTAAGTGGGGTGTGGAAGAAGTTAAAAGTAAAGAGGGTGAAAAAAAAAAATACTTTGTTCAAAATTTCACACAGAGTGTATTAAGACAAAAAATTGCTGTTGGGGGGAAAACAGTATTAATTAGCTCTTTCTCCAAGAGCTGCTGGAGGTGGGATAGCTCCTGAGGGAACTCTGTGTGATCAACCATGACAGCTTCTGTAACCCTCCTATACCTTCAAGCAAAGTGGTTGAGTTTTCTGCTTCATTTGCTTCCTGATGACTGTGGGTAAGTGGGTCTGTCTGTGAGGAAGTCTCTGGGAACGGCTTGCCAGCTCTCAGACTATACAGCAGCCTTTGGGATCCCACCTATAAAAACATTGAGGTTATGGAGAGAGTGATGAGATCTCCTAAGGATGGAAAGATGGAACTAGGTGGTCTTTGAAGTCTTTTCCAGCCCAAGCCGTTCTGATTCTATGATATCCTGTATCTGTGCCATGGCAGAGCATGAAGAGCCTTGGTGGGGCATGGAGAAGCACTGTGGTCAGGCATGGAGAAAGGCCTTGGTGGGGCATGGAGAAGGGCCTTTCTGGGGCATGGAGAAGTGCCATGGTGTACCATGGAGAAGGGCCTTTCTGGGGCATGGACAAGTGTCATGGTGTAGCATGGAGAAGGGCCTCGCTGGGGCGTGGAGAAGTGCCATGATGAGGCATGGAGGAGGACATTTGTGGGGCATGGAGGTCAGGTCTCAGCCACTGCCACCACAAACACAGAGAATCTGAGCAAGAGAGAACAAGACCGCATCCCCCTGCAACAGCGAGCATGGAACCTACTTCTCTTTGTTCTATCAGTTAACTTCTCTGGATGCTTGTAACTTCTCTGATGCTCCCCAGTGTGTGTGCAGGTAGCAAAATGCTCTCTGTTAATGCAGGAGTAATTACAGCAGGATTCAGCCTGGAGGGTTGGATCTGCTCCCCTTTATATCAGCGTTTCCCTACCAAGTGTCATTTAGATGTTTTTGGGAAAGACTCCAGGATTTGTTTCACAGACAACATTTCCTCAACAGCTCAGTGGATATGAAATAGTTTGAACTAACCATGCAAATCTTGCTTGTCTTCTTATGTGGATAAACGCAATCTATTCTAAACTCAGGGCCAGGGCTTTCAGCTGCTGATGGGGGATTGCTATACAGACATCAAAGCAGCTCTATCAGCTTTCACCAAGTGGGGATCCAGCCCTTTGTTCATATCTTAAAATTCAGAAACCCTGTCTAGGTAAAGCATTTTTCTCTATAATTTTAAGTAGCCAGTATTTTATTTTATAGCTGTTCCCTCAGTGGCAGGATTGTTTAAAGGCTCTTCAAGGCTGAAGGAATTAAAAATGAATAATTTAAAGCTGGTCTATGATGCAGAATTTTTAACATATGTTTTACAAGCCATGCAGAACAGTTTTTTTTTTTTTTTTTTTGTCTTGTCAGTACATGTTTCACAAACATGCTGTGCTGGAACCAAAACCCTTTTTATTTAAGACTCAGATTTGAGCCCTCCTATGCATTGACACAGTGGTGTGCTGATGTCTACAAGCTGTAACAGGGAAATCATTATCACTGGCACTGATCAGAAAAGAGGAGAAATGAAGCAATTTCACTGCTTTTCTCCCCTTACACACTGGTGAACCACATGTGGGCAGAGCTGGGGCTCACTCACCTCAAAACACCCCATCCCAGAGGAGCTGCAGTTTGCTCAGTGACACACTACAAGAGGGCTGGACCGAAGTGGTGGCAGAGGAGGAGCTGAGAGACGCTGACATTCACAGTATGATGACTTTGTTGGTTTTTTTTTTTAAGGTTGGACTTTTTTTTTTTGCCAACCTCCTGTTAACTTCCTAAACAATGTAGTGCTTAGAACGTCAGCTTAGTCACTCTTGGCAGTTTTAAAAATGATGCTAATTGCTGGTAAGTACCCAATGATTCACATTTGATTGGCTTTGTTTCTTGTCCTTTCCTGGCTGCTTGCAACCAATGATGCAGCAGATGCTTGAAGTCAGAACGGGTTTCAGTCTGACACACCTATGTCCACGCACTTCCTTATTTCCTTGGACTGGCCAGCACGTCATGTCTATTTTATAGTAAATCCAGATTTGCAATTAAAATAAATTATTTTGATTATTTTAAAAGCTTTTCAGGACCAGAACCAATGTTATAAATTTCAATGAGATGTAAATTGAGAGTGCAGTTTGGACTTGTGTTCGCTTTCTCCACATTTGGGCTCTTTGCAGTAGGTAACTTGCCATCTTTCAAACAAGCCAATTGCCATTGTGTCTTGGCCAAGAAGAAGGAGTTAAAATAGAAAACCAGCATTTGGTCTGTACACAGTTGCCAAGAAGCTATTTCTCCTTGCCTGTGTAAATAAATTGTCATTCAGAATGGCTGGCTTGCTCCAAAATATTCGCAATGAAACTTAAGTGCTATGGGCTGGATCAATGGGCTAAGGCCAGTTACGAGCTTCAGTAAAACCAAGTGCCAGGTCCTACACTTTGGTCACAACAACACCAATTGCTGTGGGCTTGGGTCAGAGTGGCTGGAAAGCTGTGCAGAAGAGAAGGATCTGGAGGTACTAAACAACAACCGCATGAACATGAGACAGTAGTGAGTCCAGGTGGCCAAGGAAGCCAATGGCATCCTGGCTTGTATCAGAAATATTGCAGTCAGCAGGAGCAGGGAGATGATCATCCTCCTATGCTTGCACTGGTGAGGCCATGCCTTGAATACTGTGTTCAGTTTTGGGTCCCTCACTACAAGAAAGACATTGAGGCCCTGGAGAGTGTCCAGAGAAGGGCAATGAAGCTGTAAAGGGTTTGGAGCACAAATTTTATGGGGAGTGACTGAGAAAACTGGGATTGTTCAGTCTGGAGGAGGCTCAGGGGAGACCTTATTGCTCTCTACAGCTCCCTAAAAGGAAGTTGTGGTGAGGTGGTAGTTGGCCTCTTTTTGCAGGCAACTGTAATAGGACAAGAGATAGTGGCCTTAAGTTGTGCCAAGGTAAGTTCAGGTTGGATATTAGGAAGAATTTCTTCTGTGAAAGAGTAATGAGTTATTGGAACAGACTGCCCAGGGAGGTGATGAAGTTACCATCCCTGGAGGTGTTCAATAAGTGTGTAGATGTGACAATGAGGGACATGTTTTAGTGGTCATGATGGTGATGGGTTGATGATTGGACTAAACAATCTTAGAAATCTTTTCCAACTTTAATGATTCTATGATTCTGTGATCCAATAAACCATGCTACCAATGGGGGTAAGTGGGAGCATGGCCAACAAATGCCCCATCCTCAGCTTCCCCACTATTACTGCTGATGCAAACCATTTTACACACTGAAATGCTGCCTGGTTGCTGTCACAACTGCCACAGAGAAATACGGTGTCTCCAGTCCAACGCCAACTCCACACAGATGGTTTTACTGTTAAATCTGTATATTTTTATTGCAGCTAATCATACGCGTTTATAATGTATTGTACAGAAAGACACCTATTGTCTATTATGTTTAGCTGTGAAGGAGATTAAATACTTCAAAACTTTGTAAACATTAGGATTATTGACCGTGACAGAACTTTGCACCACTTGTTTGTTCTGACTGATATGAGAGACAGTTGGTCTATGTATGTTATTTCCACTGAGGAAATAAATGGCATTCTTTATTTGAATGTAGAAGAGGCACTGCCATTATGTTGCATACATTGCTTCATAAGTGCAGTAAGTATGTGGGTCACTCCTAAAGTAATGCTACTTATTTCCATGGAAACTACAACAGATACAAAGATCATAATAACACCACTTGATAGAACAAATTCTCAGTTACAAAACACTATTTTTCAACATAGTCACCACCATTAGCTCTACAATTCAGCCAGTAATGAACAAGAGCATGCATGC